TCACTGGCTGTTCGATAGAAAAAACACGCTGGCAACATGCAAGTGCGTGCACACCCAGCTGACGAACAACGCCGAGACATTGCCGACGACAACATGAGGGTTGGTCTCGTCACCAATGATGTCATGAGCCCTGCCACTCTGGTACCTGGAAATCCACGCGAAGCTCTTGCAGTCCACACCAAAGTGAACGAAGCCATTCCGAACGACTCGGAAGCGTAAGATTGCACACCACAGCATCCCACCACACGTCGTGATATCTTGCGACGTGCTGTTCACAAGATCAAACGTCTCTGTGCGATAAGACCTGCGCCGCATCGCCCGCCCAGGTGAGTCCTTCCCGCTGAAGACATGGACGAAGTCCAAATCTCTGGTGATCTGCCCTTGGCGCGGCATGGACTGAACAAGTGCGCATTAATTGCCCCGATGACCAGATATCGACATCACATTGGGGCATGGGTGAATGCTACATCGAGGCGAGTCCAGCCGCGGCGACTTGGCGTAAAACGGGGGGGGGGCACATCAGCAATTCGCACGTGTTGCCCCTGCCAGCCTGATCGCAACAGAGAATGGGCTGTGCTCACGGCGAACTGCACCTGGCCCCAATACGACTGGTCGATGTTAGTCTCCGCAATATCAGCCACCCATTGCGGCACTGGATGACTGGTCGGCGCCGCGGAGACAAGTGCCACCATCATGGTGGCGGCCAGTAGTGGCGTCATAATGCAGGTCGCGCGGCACCTATGCCGAGCGCAGCCTGAAGGTCCAAGCGCAAGAACACCCCCTTTTCGAACTGCAAGGCGTGACTCGCTTCAGCCAAAGAAGCTAGGAGAGCGTTGAGGGTTTCATCCTTCCATGTCGCGTGCACACGCGGATGGCCCATGTGGTGCATCCTCGAGGGAGAGGGGGGGCAGCCGTGGCCTTGCGGCACGCAGACCCTTGGCAGTGGCTGGCGCGGGCGACGAGCACCCCCCATGGACCAGGAAACAGGGGCGGCGGTCTGCCCCCAGCCTGAGTCATTCCTTACACGGGCAGCTGTCAGACAGAGCCTAGAGGGGGGAGGAGTATAAGGACGGGAGAGGATGATGGGCAATGGGGAGAAGCATCGAGCACGAGGAAGAGGACGGGGAGGAGGAGGAGGAGGAGGATCGAGGAGGAGGCGGAAGATGGAAAGTAGGATGCACGAGTGAGGGCATATTGCTGACTATATGGAGGGTAGATCGTCGGAGTACGAGCAGTAGCAGCGCGCGCATGCACGACTGATCGCTTAGCTTGCACATGCGTGTGACATCATCGCTTCCATCGTGTCACCCCCCTCCCGAGGCTTCGTTTACTTCCGCCATCTTCCACGCGCAGTACATCGACGATCGCGCGCGATCAGAGGCGCGCCCCCTTCACTTGTGCCGAGCAGGGTACCACACATGTACTCGTACACGCATGCCATCTATACAGTTCGAGGGTGAGCGACCAGATCGCGGGTCATCGATAAATCATCGATGAGCAATCGATGACGCGACGGCGCGACATTGGGGTGTCATCGATGTCCCGCAGTCCGGTCACTCACCGTCGAAATAGAGGGTGGTGTGCGATTTCGCGCAATTGCGCTTGCCCGCCGCAGTTCTCTCAGAGCGCACCGCGGCGCTGGAGCAGCAAGCTGCTCGCAAACCAGAGAGTTGCAGCGTCCGAGCACAGTGGGCGAAACCGCGCCCCGAGAACGGCGCGGCATGGGTGGCAGAGAGAGGGAGGCGTCGGGTCCTGGTGTTAAGATGCCAGAACAAATGGTGTTTTGGCTTGATCTGGATCCCCGCATCACGTAAAAGAGACAAGTGCAGGCGAGCCATATTTTTCAAACGCTCGCATGCCTCGGCTGTCAGGCGATCTGGTTGCCGAGCGAGCTCTGTCGACCACTCGAGCAGAGCCTCTGCGCACGCACTCAGCTGAGTGCCTTTCGATATGCGACCAGCGTATCGAGGGGGCAAGACCATCGCGCACCAGCGAAACAGGTCGATCGTCTCGCCAGCCTTCAGTTTGATCGCATGCACTGCTGGTCGCCCGAACATCGATGGTGAGAGGTTCTCGACCTGGTTTGGTATTCGGCCCTGGTCCCGCTCCGACTGGTACCACGAACTCAGTTCGATTGTCAAGCGGCCGATCCCGATGGCGAACTTCGCTGTTATGTTTGTTCCTCGGCTGGCGAAGACGTCTGACTGAAGCAATGCCCACATAACTGAACAGACTACAGATCCCATGACGCCGAGTGCTACTGTGTGAAGATAGTCTACCGCAAAATTGCCCGCGATAGTCACTCCCAACCCCTGCCCCCACAATGGATTTGATGCCGTCGTGAGCGTAGCCCTGGAAGGGCGCCAGAAACGCAGCCAACAGGGAGTGCTAATAACACCGTACTCCCCAACATCTTCCAAACCAGTCTGGGGCAAGAGGCGATCCCACTTTTCGAGGGCGGCACTGTGATGGTTGAGAGCAGGGGTGTGCTTCCCCACAGATAACCCCTTCCCAGTCTTGCGTCGGTCGAAAAACATCGCCGATCCCTCCCATAATGCATCCCGCTCGATATCTGTCCCGATAAACACCGCTATCTCTGCCTGTCGCGTCGCGGACAGGTGGTCACCGATCTCGTGATCTTCCCACGGGGCATCGTCTTCGCCAAGGAGAAGGCTAGCCGCCGTCTCTTCAATTGCACATGGCGCACACAGGGGCGAGCGACTGGATCTGGGCACGTTGCTGACTGGAGCGGGACAGTGGGCGGCGCGAAGCGCGATCATACCACGAAGTTCCCCAGGGACGGAGGATCGCAGACGACAATTCGAACCAATAACACCCGCAGCAACGCGCCAGATCCATTCGCCCGTTCCATCCCTCCAAATACACTGCCCCCATCATATCACCCTCCTGCCGCATCCCGTCTCATCGCCATCCTCCTATACCGCCCTCCCCCCCACGCTTATAGCGATACCATATGCAGCAAAACAAAACGCCCACCTGTAATTGTGCACGTCGTTCTGCGTGGCGTTGCAGAGTGGGCAACAATGTAATTTGGATTTACACGTCGGTACTGAATAGTATGTGCACACGCCCTCCCAGTCGGCCATCATATAGCAGACTGCGCCCCTGAAACCGAGGCGCGTGCCTCCCAGGTTACGCCTGGCAGCATCGGGGAACACCCGACCGTCCCAATCGAACCTGGGGTATTCGCCAGCTGCTAAGGACTCCAGCGACCAGCGCACGAAGTTCAGCAGCCTAGAGATTGAGCAGTATCCCTTGCAACCGCAACGACATTGCACATGCTTGCGAAATACGACACCTACGCGTCGGGCTTGCGTGCACATATTGACGACCGACATGGCGAGGATCGACTTGGATCGCCCAGATCCAGCGGCCCCGCCGCACTGGGCCGCGTCGATGAACACACCCAGCGGCAGTGCGAGGTCGCCGGGCGCTGCTCGCGCAACGACGTCATGGTGTCTGTATACATCTGGCCAGTCAGTGGTCGTCACATGGTGCCGCAGCTCGAGCATGCGCGCGGGCTGGTTCACTTCGTGGTGGAGCAGTTCGCGAAAGGGGCGACACCCGACCTGCACGATCGCCCTGCTGCGCGAGCCGCGATGTTGGCAAGGCGCGTCCACGAGTGCAGGTTCAACGGTTGTGAAGCCGCGCCGCCTGATCATGTTCTCGACGTGTCGGTTGTAGCGGCCAGTCTGATCGTTCAGAGGGGCCATGCCCCATTCTTTGATCTCGCCCACGGCGCCAGCTCTGCTGGCATTGTAGGCGAGCGAGCATAACGTTGTGGCAGTGATGTTGCCCAAACAGAACAGACGTTGGAGGTCAGACAGCAGTGCCGCCCCCGCCTCGGCCCTGAGGGGCGCTGACAATGGCGGTGAGATCGTGCGTCGCCCCCCCTCCATGTAAGCTGGATGCGCGGCCAACGCACTTGCGCTTGAGCCACCGCGCTGTGCAACGGGAACCCGCCCACACGTTGGATGGGCTCCTCATCGTGTTCCTCGCGTGCATCCCCTGATCCTCCTCCTCCTCCTCCTCCGCATCCTCCTCCTCCTCCTCATCCGCCTCATCCGTGCTCATTTGCATCATATTCCTCATCGTGTTCCTCCCCTCCTCCTCCCCCGCCCCCCTCATCCTCTTCCCCCTTCCCCCCCCTCTTCCCCCCCTCGTGAGAGGGGGGTGGTCGCCCCTCCCCAAGTCCCCCCCCCATCACCGCGTGTGCGAGGGGGCGAAGCATCATGGCTCACGAGCTACTGCGCCGTGCGATGCGTGGAGATCGGGGTCGCAATCGAGCGCGTGATGTGTTTTACTGGTGTGTTCGCTCGTCGCGCGCCGTCATCGGGCGCCGTCGGAGAGTCATCGGAGAGTCATCGGAGAGTCATCGGTGAGTCATCGGTGAGTCATCGGTCGGGTTACCTGTCATCGGTATACGTTTTGTGTGTAAATTTACAGTGTTCGCCCCCCCCCGAGTCATCGATGATTCTGCGATGACAGTCATCGGTGTGTCATCGGCGTGGGGTCCCGCCGATTTTCGCCCGGACAGCGTCCGGACAGCGCCCGGACAGCGAAAACTATTGCCAGGGGAGAAAACCACATGCCAGAACTGGAAAACCATGTCCCGAGACGAGGAAACCGATCCGAATGGCAGAACATCTGTCCAGTGTTTCCACAGAGCCTCGGAATCGCCGCGGGGTTCGGCGAAAGCGGCGCCTCGCAAAAAATCTGACCGCGCAGATCGAACTCCCACTGCAGGCATGGCGAGAGCTGGGCCCGACTTTGTAGTCGCTCGCGCCCCGCGCAGAGCAGCGGCCCACGCGAGCGTCCTCGCACTCGTGCACAGCCATCCAACGGCCTGCAGGACCTGCGCGACCCAGCAGCATTGATGCACCCCCCCTCCCCGTATATAATCCCCCTGTTGCTGCACGCCCGCATCCGCATCACAGGCCGCGAACGTGGCGCAAGGTGCCGACGATCGATCGAGCCTACTACTTGCCCTTCTTCACCTTCTTCTTGATGGTCGGGTCCTTCGCCTTCTTGGGCGGTTTCTTGTTGTTGTTCTGGAGCGCCCTGTGCGATTCGATGGTCGCTTGGATCTTGTTGTTCAGCTCTGCGCCGCGCTTCTGCGGGGAGCACGGGGCGGGGGGCGGCGGCGGCGGCGCGACCGACGATTGGCGCACGAGACAGACGCATGACGACCGACGAGCGGCGACTAACGCCCGACGACAGACCCAAGAGTCCGTAGACGATGACGACGACGATCAGCGACGACCGACGACGACAGACGAAGACGAAGACGACGACGACGACGACAACGGCGACGACAAATACTCTCTACCGTTGGGAATGCGAATGATTGGGTCGCGAGTCATCGATGACGTATCGATGATTCATCGATGACGCAGCGATGGCGAGGCACGCGTCGGCGCATGCCTGGCGAGTCATCGATGCGTCATCGATGAGTCATCGATGACTCGTGGCCCAGTCAGTCGCTTTCGACGTGACTCCCGCAGGTCCTGCAGCGTGTCCACGGCGTCCTTCTCGCAGAGCACCTCTATGTCGGCCTCCTTGAACTCTTTGCGCACCTGTCGGGCGGGGCAGAGGATCAGGATCCCGAGATGCGGGGGTGAGGCGAGGATCGGAGAAGGGCGGGGGAGGCGGAGGGGAGGAGGAGGAGGAGGAAGAGGACGAGGAGGAGGATGAGGGGGGAATGGGAGGGGGGGCGGGGCGATGGGAGAGAAGGTTGGGCGAGGAAGATCCGAGGAGGAGGAGGAGGAGGAGGAGGAGATTCCGACATCAGAATCTGATTGGAGATCGGCGAGGATGAGGATGGGGATCCGAATGGCCGAGGATAATCCTCGATCGCATTGATACCCCGATCGGTATCCTCTCCCGCCTTCTCCTCCTCCATCCTCCTCACCATCTTCATCCTCGTCATCCTGCCACCGCGCCCACCTCGTCATCGATCACGGTCCTGATCTGCGCCAATCCTCCTTCCTCACCTTCCTCCCCATCTTCCCCCTAGTTCCGACCTCCTCCTCATCATCCTCATAATCGCCGTTCGCCGTCGTCGGTTGACCTGCGACACCTCGGTACCGATGAGCAGCTTCTGCCACAGCTTGTTCTTCTTGATGGTGCCCTCGATGTCCTTGATCATCGTGTCGATCGTGCCCTGCACGGCGGCCGTCCTCGCCCATGCCCACTCGCTGGGCTCTGCCTCGTTGGCGGATCCGTCGCCGCCGCCCTTAGACGCATCCTCGGCGATGTCCTCGGAGAGAGACTTCGCAGACGCCAGCGTGCTCTGCATCGCCGCGATCATCTTGCGGCAGTGTGCCAGCGCGATCGCGGCGGGCGACTTCTCCTTCTTCCCTGGCTTGGGCGGTGCGCTGTCATGTTGCCCAGGGTCCTCATCAGGGTCCGCCTCGGGGTCCGCCTCAGGGCCCTCCGCAGGGTCCTCCGCAGGGTCCTCAGGGTCCGCCGCAGTGTCCTCCGCAGCGTCATCGCCGCTTCCAGACATCCGTGCACGCGGCAACGCAATGAGGGCATCGTCGGTGAGTGCTTTGTCCATGTTCTGCTTCTGCGTCTCCTCCCAGCGCTTCTCGAACTTGTCGGAATACTCGTGCGAGAACCACGTGAACTTGACCTTGCCGTGCTGCTCGTCGACCTGTACGAACGGGAACCCCATCCTGATGCACCGCTGGGCAATCACGGCGCAGTCCTGCATGGCCTCGGGGTCCCAGTGGCCGCGCGGCCCGCCCTCCTCGTAGCGCATGCGCAGGAAGGAGACGACCTTACCCTTGGACAGCCACGACTCCTGGCTCGCCGTGGTGTATGTGCGCATGCGGACGATGGCACCTTTGTACTGCTTCTTGCACCAATCCTTCTTCCACTGGTCCTTGTCCGCAGCCGACAAGTACCCGTTCTTGGTCTTCTTATTGCTCCTGAGCTCCCGCTGCAAGCGCTGCCCCAGCGCCGACCGCCACGTGGAGGCGTAATCCCCAGCATTGTGAGCTTGCACGCTCTGCAAATCACCCTTGTGATACTTCTTCTGGAGCGGCGTCTCCGGAGCCATCTCGGGGGCGCTCTGCGCGGTGCTCTTCGTGAAGCGCTCGGCGCCCTCCTGCTGCATGAGCTTCTGGACCTGGCCCTTCAGCTGGTCCTGGATCTGCTCGGCGGCGCCCTTCTCGGGCGTCTCGTTGGCTGGCTGCGTACTGCGGGAGACGTAATTATGCTTGGCTCAGGTGTCACTCCTCCTCCTCCTCCTCCTCCTCCTCCTCCTCCTCCTCCTCCTCCTCCTCCTCCTCATGCTCCTCATGCTCCTCCTCCTCCTCCTCCTCCTCCTCGCCCTTCATCTCGCCCCTCCTCGCCCTCCATCCCGATCCTCTCGCTGCCCCCTCGTCGTCGCCACATCGTTGCCCTCGCCGCCGCCGCCGTCGCCGTCGTCGTCGTCGTCGGCGTCGTCGTCGTCGTCGTCGTCGTCGTCGTCGTCGTCGTCGTCGTCATCGTCGTCGTCGTCGTCAGCGTCAGTCATCGTCGCTCGCCGTCGCCGTCGCCGTCGCCGTCGCCGTCGCCGTCGTCGTCGTCGTCGTCGTCGTCAGCGTCAGTCATCGTCACCTCCTAGCCCCCCCGCCGTCGCTGTCGCCAACGTCGTCGTTGACGACTGCGACGTTCAGCCCGCGCAGTCCCCCCGATCCGATGCTGCGGAGTGCTCGCTGCGCTAGCCGCCGAGCCCTGCACCCTCGCCGAACTCAGGAGGCTCGCTGCGCGCCGCTGGGGGTCATGCCGCGCTGGCGCGGCCCCCCCCGCGGCCTGCGCCTGCGGCGCGCTACCGAGCAGCATGGGCACCTTCTCGCTCAAGGGCATCGTCGGCTCATTCTCGAGGCGACGGCCGCTCCTCTGCGGCTGCCGCGGCGGCATCTGCGATGCGCCGTCGCCCGCGGCAGGCGCCGACGGCGCGGCCTGCGCAGCGCCGCCGCGGCTGACTGGAGCGCTGGGCGCGCGCTCCAGCTGGCGCCGGCGCTGACCGCGAGCCCCGCGGCTCTCGGCGCGCGACCTCTGCGTCTCCAGCGGTTCTCCGCTCTCGGCCCGTGGCTCTCGGGGCGCCGCGAGGCTCTCGGCAGTCGGCTCCTGCTCCTTGGGCGCAGAGCTGCGCTCGCGGCGGCGCTTGGGGCGCCCGCCCGCCGTGCCGCCTGCGATCCTGCGGCGGCGCTTCTTGCGCCTGGGGAGCTGGCCCATGGCTTTGTGGGAATCAGACGCATCCCCAGCCTCGGCCTCGGCCTCGGCCTCCGCTTGTGCCTCCTCAAGCGCTGGTGCCTCCTGAGCCACTGGTGTCTCCTCAGCCGCTGGCGGCCCGCCGAGGCCGCGGCGCCTGGCATCGCGGCGCCGACTGATCACGACTGCTGGCTTCTTCGCGAGAGGCCGATTGTCCGAGTCGTCATCGTCGACTGGCGGCTTGGGGATCTCGCGCGCGGCTCTCTTGGAGGTCGGCCTGATCCCGTTGCCGCGCGGCATGGCCCGCTGCGACGGCGGCGCGTAGCGGTCCTGACTGAAGTGGCCGTGATCGTTGTCCAGGTCGGCTTGGCTCTCGCCGTCTGCGCTGGCAGCCGCCGCGACCCCCAGATCAGAATCGGAGGCGACGGCGATGGCGCCCGCGTCGGGCTCGCTGGCGCCGCGCACGGCCTCTGCGTCTGCCTGGCGCCCGCTGGCGCTGCCTCCTGCGCTCGCGCCCGCGTCGAGCTCACTGGCGCTGTCTCCTGCGCTCGCCGCCGCGGCGATGGCACCCGCCTCGCGGGCGGCCGCAGCGCGCCCCTGCTCCTCGCGGGCCCGCGCGCTCTCGAGCTCTTGGAGCTCCTCAGAAAGCCTCTGCCGCTCCCTGTTGGCCGTCTCCGCCGCGCGCGCTGCCTCTGCAGCGATCCGGTCAGCCTCGTCGACGAAGAACCCCTGCTCGATGCGCGTGCCTGGGGCTGCAGGCTCTGCCTGGCTGTTGATGGGGCTGGGGCTCAACGGGGGCTGGCTGTTCACCTCCGCGCGGGGGCTGCCGCGCGTGTCCTCGCGCAGCGTCTGCTCAGGCGAGCGCGCGCTGATGGCTGCAGCCGCCATCGCCGCCGCCCTGGGCTCAGCATCCGTGGGCGGGGCATCCTCCGTGTCGGACCCGCCTCCCTGCGATGCGCGCAGGCTCCTCCTGACCGCCGTCGCCCAGGCGGGATCGCTCTCCTCGATGGTCTGGACCGACGGCGACCGCTCGTCGATGGACGGGCCTGCGGGCGGCGCGCTGCCCCACTCATCCTCTTCCTCTACCCCTCGGATCGTCGCCGTCGTCGGTCGGACGAACGATCGGTCGGTCGATCGGTCGGTCGGTCGATTTGTCGTCGTCGTCGTCGCCGTCGGCATCCTGTAGTCGTCGTCGTCCGTCGTCGTCGTCGTCGACGTCGTCGTTCGTCGGTCGTCGTCGTCGTCGGCCAGTCGTCGGTCAGTCGTCGCCGTCGCCGTCGCCGCACACGCCGCCGCAGCCGCCTTCGTCGACATCGTCGTTCGTCGCCGACGTCGTCGTCGCGCCTGGCATGTGCTCCTCCGAGTCGGCTGCTTCTGCGAGAGCGCCGCCGCCGCCGCCTCCGCCTGTCGGGCCGAGGGCTGCCCCAGATCCCTCCGCATCCTCATCACCATTCCTCCTCATCATCCTTTTCCTCATCGCAGTTCCACTCTTAATATTCTCGCCCTCTCCTTCACCGCCCCTACTCATCTATATATATATATAAACCCCTCTCGTCCACCGCTCCCCCGATCATGTACGCATCCCCGCTTGCTTAGCCTCCGCATTCTCCTCCTACCCACGTCTCCTCCTCCACCCCTGACTTCCCCACGTACCCCCCCGCCCCTCGTCGTCGTCGCCCGTCGTGTGTCAGTCGTCGCGAGCCCGATTCGCAGTCGTCGTCATCCGTCCGTCGTCGCCCGTCGCCCGTCGTCAATCGCCCGTCGTCCTCCGTCGTCGTCGTCGTCGTGGCCGTCCTCCGTCGTCGTCGTCAACGCCGTCGCCCTCGTCGACCGTCGTTGTCGCCGCCGTCGCTGTCGCAACCGCCGCCGTCGCCCGAGCCTGGGTGAAGCGCCGCCGCCGACCAGCGCGGCCGCGAGCGCGAGCGGTGCCGCGGCCCGCCTGGCGGAGCGGCGGCATCGCTCTCCCCCCCCCCATTCCCGCACGTTCCCGTTCGCGATGCATCGCCGACGCATCGATGCTGCATCGATGGCGCATCGACGAAGTTCGTCCCCCACCAGGCCCGAGATCCCCTGGCCGCGCCTCGCCGAGAGCTCCAAGGGCACCGCGAATCGAGCCGACCCCGCCGCCGCCCGGACTGCCATCTGCACCCCCTGTGCCACAGATCGCCCCCCATGCACCCACTGCTCCTCTTCCGCCGCCCTAGTGCACGTCCTCTTCTCCCTCGACCATCCTCGCATCATCTGCCGCGCCTCCTCCTATCCCCCTATAGTGGTTTCACCCGGCGACGACGGCGACGATCGATGCCGACGACGTCATCGATGAGTCATCGATGCCATCATCAATGACTCATCGATGACGGCATTGATGATCATCCCCAGATTTTCGAGCAGCGCCCAGCCGAGGCGACGAGCGGGGCTTCCCAGGGCCAGACGGTCCAGAACCTCATATACCCCCGCCCCGAGGGAGCGGGATAATGAGGAGGAGAAGGAGAATGATGAGACGTCCATGCGCCGTTCAGGTGGGCGCAGGAACGCGCCGCGCGGGAGCGCGGCAGGTCGAGCGCGCGCTGCAAGGCGCGCGCGAGCGTGCGCGCCGATGCGTGCTCGCCCGAGCGGGCGATACGAGGCGCACTCGCCAGTCCAGTCGTCCGACGTCCGTCGTAATCGATCGGCCGTCGTCGTCGGCAATCTCGTCTGTGTGGAACTCGCAATCGTCGTCGCTCGCATCATCATCGCCGAACTCGTCGTCGCAGTCGGCGCCGTCGTCGAAACCGTTGTCGAATCGGATTCGCCGTCACGGTCGCCCTCGTCGGGCGACGACGTCGCGCCATCACGCGCCGCTCAGGCTGGGCCTCACGCATCGCAGTCGGTGCCTGAGCCAGGGCCGACCGCCGCCAGGAAGCTCAGGTTGTTCAGCGGCGGCCCCTCCATCTGCTCGGGCACCGACGACTCCGCCTCGCTGGGTGCGACTGCCGCCGCTGGTCTCTGCCGCGACGTCGGCGCCGCGGCCGCGGCCAGTCTCTGGCACGCGCTCGATGGTCTCTTCGCCGCGGGCCTCTTCATCGCGGGCGGCTTCGTCTCATCGGCCTCATCCTCCTCTGGTGTCTGCTCTGGGTTCTCGTTCGGGTCTCCTGCTGGCGCAACTGCGGGCCTCTTCTTCGCCGCGCCCTCGCCCTCGTGACTGATCTGCCATGCTGCAGGCCTCTTGCGCGATGCGCTCTCGCCCTCGTCATCGGCGTCCACCTCTGGGTCCTCCGTGTTTGCCTCCTCCTCGCTCTCTTCCTCTGAGCCGTCGCCAGCAGCATCAACGTCCTCTTCTTCGTCTTCTCCGCCGCCCTCCTCTTCTTCATCGGCGCCGTCCTCCTGAGGTTCCTCATCAGGATGCTTCTCCTCGTCCTCATTCGCGTCCTTGTCGTAGTCGCCACCGCTCGCCGCGGCTGGCCTCCTCGGCGCACCTGCTGGTTTCCTCGAAATGCCGAGCCCCGCCTCCAGGATGCGCTTCTTCTCCTTCGTCCAGGCTCCAGCGTCACCCGCGCTGATCTCGCGCTTGGCCAGCTCCTTCGCCCACTTCACCGCGTGCGTGGTCGCCTTGGTCTTCTCCGCGACTTTGAAAGCGAGCTGGCACTTCTGCTTGCCGTTGACCTTCACCACGACGCCAGGGTTGCCTGGGTCCAGCATCTTCAGCTCCGCCGCGTACTTCGTCTCGCCGACGATCTTCTGCCAGAGAATGTTGGTGCTGGCCTCCTTCGATATCGCCTTCTGCTGGCCGCGCCACGCGCTCGCCGTCAGCTCCTCGAGCTCGCACGTCCAGCCGTCTGGCCACTTCGCCATCATGAAATTGTGGCCCCTCGCGCCCTCGGGCTCGTAGATGTCGCCGGTCGGGTCGGGCATGGGGGGGGGGGGGGGGGCCTTTGCAGC